AAAGTGGTGACAATGATAAATCAATCTGTAGTAGTGGTGGTAAAAGGCAAAGGGTCAACCTAAAAAGAGAAGATTATTAGAATGTGATATGGAGCAAAGCAACAAGGTAAGACCATTTCTAGCTAAGTTGCGTATCCTATGGGAAACACGGCTTTGATACATGTACAACTACAACTCCTTTGGCCGATGTGGATGGCAAGGCGGGCATGGTCGCCGAGCTTGGATGGATCCGCAAGTGGGCATGCAGAACCCAAGGGGAGATATGGCAAAGTAGAGTGAAGGTCTGGCAACCAGTTTTTAGTAGGAGACTATGGTATGTCAGGCAGAGAACACGACCACTGCTGCAAACCAGGCACTGTCTTCATCCACGACTATAATCCCAACGACAACTGGAACTTCAGCTCTAGCCCCTACTGCAACAGGACAATAGGTGATGATTGATTCAAAAGACATTCCAAAGTCATCGGTATAGGGGATGAACAAAAGTAAAGGCAAGCCTTTTTGTGATAGATGTCATACCAATGGACATGTTTTTAGTGTGTGCACTACGGTGATTTGTTGTAATGTGTGTGATTGTGAACATATTACAAAATCTTGTCCGCATATGAAAGGTGGGCAACCTGTAGTGTGTCCTTTAGATATGCAGTACAAGGCCTCAGATTCTACTACATTCCTCAAAATAGTACTCAGAAAAATAAAATTGAAGAGAAAAGTGCCACGGTGAGAGTCATAGAAGGTTCACTTACTGCGAATCAACTCATGGTGGAACTTGAAAGACTTCTACTAGGCAAGAACAAATGGGTGATAGAAGAGAAAGGTATAGACGCTTTGTCCCATCAGCTCCAAAGTCATACTATCAGCGTAGGATGTTCTTGATCTTCCAGTGAAGAAGCACTCCCCTATATCCCGGTTGCAGGGTGTCATGGTCCAGCCTTTAGGGGCATTGTAGGGGTTCCCACCGCCTCCTAGGCCGTCATCTTCATCTTTTGATCCATTTGAATCTTTAGGATCATTGCCCCCATCATCACAAGTGTCCCCATCTGCTGCTTGTTGGGGCGCCTCCGATTTAGCTTGGTTCTCCTCCTACGGATACTCCGCTAGTGCTAGATCCTCCATGGGCTCTCTGGCTTGAAGGATTGTTCCATCATCAACATGCTGGTCATGATGGAACTGGAAGTGGGTGACCTCACCTATGAGGGGGAACTCCACAGGGCGAGTACGGTGGTAGGGTACGGTGCTTCGACGGTAGGTTAGTAGTTGGTGGGCCATCTAGTGACAAGAAAACATGGAAAATTGTTATAATGAGTTTATGGTAGGGATAAAGAGGATATACATGGTTGGTTTAAGGCAAAAGTAAAGGTCATGTGTGGTTATGGCATAAGTGTGGTAAAAGGCAAAGTATCAACCTAAGTGCAACTCCAGCAGGCTACCTACACCCACTACCTATCCTACATTTGGGTAGTGGAGACAAGAAAATGCACTCCAGTAGGCTACCTATCAGACTACCCTACTTTTGTTGGCCCAACAAATTTCCCCTCCCACTACCCTACTCATCCCTCCCCAGCCCACGCCGATGGTGCTCCTCCCCCGCAAGTGGATCTCGCTAGCAGGATCCTTCCTCCCCTATGCTAGGCACCATCTTCTCCACCGCCATGGAAGCCTAACGCGCGCTGCTTCCTTCCACATAGCCGTGAGCTATTGCAACCCTCCTCGCCCATTGAAGCTAAGCATGCTGGCACTAGCCTTCGCCTCCTCGACCAGAGCGCGATCAAAGGGAGGAGAAGAGGAGGAGGCCCTCACTCCTCCCCGCGGGCGTGTGGGTCTGGCCAGAGCAGGCAGCCTTGCCCCCCACGTAGGCCTGCCTGGCACAGGTGTCCCTGTCCCCAGCGCACCTCCACGACCATCTCCGGTAGCTCGATGACCATCTCCCACAATTGTGACCCTCCTCGCCGGCTCTTCCTCGGAAGCCATGGTGAATGTGCATGGAGATGGCCGAGTTATTCTACCGTGAACTCAAAGAAAGAGGATGACATGTGGGACCCACATGTCATTCTCTATTAGGATTAGTTTGGGTAGTCTATTTTAGGTAGTACTGCTGGAGCTGGGAGCAAAATATAGGTAGTATGAAAATAGGTGGCTACCCAAATAGAGAAATAAGTAGTCTGTTTAGGTAGTATTGTTGGAGAAGCTCTAATAAGAGAAGATGATTAGAATGTGAGAAGGAGCAAAGCAATCAGGTAAGACCATTTCTAGCCAGGCTGTGTATCCTATGGACAACACGGCTTTGATACACATACAACTACAACTCCTTCGGCCGATGTGGACGGCAAGGCAGGCACAGTCGTGGAGCTTGGATAGATCTACATGTGGGCATGTAGAACCTAGGGGGAGATATGGCGAAGCAGAGTGGAGGGCCGACAACTAGTTTTCATCAGGAGACTACTATGGTCAGTCAGGCAGGGAACATGACCACTGCTGCAAACCAGGCGCTAGCTTCCTCCATGACTGCAATCCCGGTGACAAGTGGAACTTCGGCTCCAGCCCCTACTGCAATAGGACAATAGGTGATGATTGATTCGAAAGACATTCCAGAGCCATCGGTACAGGTGCAAACAAAAGCAAAGGCAAGCCTTTTTGTTATAGATGTCATACCAAAGGACATGTTTTCAATGTCTGCACTGTGGTGATTTGTTGTGATGTGTGTGATGGTGAACATTTTACAAAAGCTTGTCCACATATGAAAGGTGGGCAACCTGTAGCTAATCCTTGTGCATATGTAGTAGAAGGCCTCAGATTCTACTACATTCCTTACAATGGTGCTCAAAAAAATAAAATTGAAGAGAAAAATGCCATGATGAGTGTTATAGAAGGTTCACTTACTCCGAATCAACTCATGGTGGATCTTGAAAGACTTCTACCAGGCAAGAACAAATGGGTGATAAAAGATAAAGGTACAGACGCTTTCATTACTGCATTCCCATCGGCTGAATTGCTTCAACAGATGGTAGAATGGGGTCCAATGGAAACAAAGACAGTGAACCTATCCCAACCCGAAGGAAGTCGGTCAGGATCAAACCTCCATCAGAGATCATCAAGATGAATTGCGATGGCGCCTTCACTATGGAGTAGTTGACAGGCAACTGAGGCTATGTGATGAGGGGATGTGATGGTGTGGTCATTTGCACCGGTTATGGCAGATTGGGGATGGTGCTTGAGGTATCTCATGCAGAGATTATCGCCTGTTTACAGGCGTTGCAGTGAGCGACTAAACTAGGGATTCAGAATGTGGTGCTGGAGACTGATGCATGCCCTAGCGGTGGTCGAAGCCATCAACGCCCAGGTCCTTGATTGAAGCTCGGCGAGTGGGCTGCTATGGGAATTGAAAGAAAGTTTGCTTTGTAATTTTAGCAGCAGCAGTATAGCCTATAAACCACGTTCTTGTAATTTGGTTGCTCACCATCTAGCTACCCTTGGGGCCAAGTTGTGTTCAGGTACTAATCCGATCAAGGATAGTATTCCATCTTGTATTAATGTTCTTGTAGCCAATGATTTGGCATTAAGTTCTGAGTAATGGAGATCACTTCCATGTTCAAAAAAAAAGAAAGCAAAAATTGGTTTTTGAGAAAGGTGCCAATAAGGATGAGTATAAATATGAGAAAGCTTGGACTAGTTCAGAGGCATATCCAAAGAATTGATATATTTCTCCATTGTTTGGGCCATCAGTTCCACCTTGGGAGTAACTCGAGTGGTGGATATGAAACTCACCAAAAAATTTGGACAGGCAAGATTGAGAGTCATAGTTCTAAACCCAAAGTTAGTTCCTGATTTGGTGGATGTGGTAATCGGGAAGTTTGTTTGAGTTACAATTTCATGTGGAGAAGGAAGGAAGTGGCGAGGAGCCACTACCAATTGATATGGATGCACCTTTCGATGAGGCTGATAGTGGTGCAAAAGATAATGGTAATGAAGAGTGTATGGAGGAGGATGGCATGCAGATGGATTCGGCACCAAAGCAGCTACCACCTAACGTACCTCCAACAGGAGGGGCCATAGGGGGTTCTGGTGGTGTAGCGCAGGGGAAGGCGATGGAAACTTCTATAACTCTGCCTACACCAAAGGAGAAGGTGACATCAGTTAGGGCTGCGCCTAGGTGATCCGCTCCTACATAAAAAGAAGTATGTGGTCTTGCTGCTACATTGATCATTAATGTTGATTTATGCTCCAAATTTCTAAAGGATCTTTCACGAGCCTACACATGGACGACAGTCTAAATTTGCTTCTACCAAATTGGCAAAGACATTTTCTGGTTGCATGCATACATGCCTGCTTAATGGCTCCATGCATAGTTGCTTTCCAGCCACTCATGTTTTGGGCCGTTGTATGCCGATGCCTAAATAAATCGGGGAATGTTTAACGGTGATGTGTAACACAATTAGCAGAATTGTTATGCGTTTCAATTCCTCTTCCTCTTGTAATCCGTTTGGATTGAGTTACCACTCATTGTAAATTCATTGAGTTTGTAGACCTCTAGATATATTGAATAGTGAAGATTACCTTTGTGTATTCGTGTCTTGATTTGCAGAGGAGTTTCCACATAAATAGTGTCTCTTATGATTGTGATCATCCTTATTTTGTCAGTTCTTTCCTAACAAGTGGTATTAGAGCCAAGTTTATTTCCTATTCAATCCAGGCTTCTTTGACATGGCATCTTTGAAGTATGATATTCCATTGTTGGATCGAGATATGATTTTCTCTATAGCAAGTCGAGATGCGGGCAATTCTGACGCATGCTGAATGGGATGATGTGCTAGATGGTTTTGGTGGGAAGAATACCATAGATTGGTCCGATGCTAAAAAGCGGAAAGACCACAAGGCTTTATCTCAAACTCATCTCCATTTGTCAAACAATATTTTGCAGGAGGTGTTAAAAGGAGACCACTGCTGCTGGACTATGGTTAAAGTTGGAGCAGCTCTGTATGACAAAGGATCTCACTAGCAAGATGCACCTTAAGCAAAAGTTGTTTTTGCACAAGATGCAAGATGGAGGAAAGGTGTTGGACCACCTTTCGGAATTTAAAGAGATCGTTGCTGATCTTGAGTCAATGGAGGTAAAATATGATGAAGAGGATCTTGGTCTTATTCTTTTGTGTTCCCTACCTAGTTCATATTCAAATTTTAGAGATACTATACTATATAGTCATGATACTCTCACCCTAAATGAAGTTTATGAAGCCTTGCATGCCAAGGAAAAGATGAAAGAAATGGTATCTACTGAAAGTTCAAGTTCACAAGTAGAAGGCTTGTTTGTTTGGGGTAGGCAAAAGGAGAAGGGATCCTATAGTGGATCTAGAGGTAAAAGTTCAAGTGGCTACAGGGGCCATGCAAAGTCTCGAGTGAAGGGCGATAAATTCTGCAATTATTGCAATAAAGACAATCATTATATTACAGAGTGTTATAAGTTGAAAAACAAGGAAAAGCGAAATAGCATATCTATGTCAAGAGGTAAAACTGAAGATGAAGGTAGAGCTTCAGTTGCTACTGAAAGTGGCGGCGAAGGTGATGTTCTTGTTGCTTTTGTTGGATGTGCAAAGATTGATGATGAATGGATTCCTGATTCAGCCTACACTTTTCGTATATGCATTCATAAAGAATGGTTTACCACTTACGATTCTGTGCAAGATGGTGGCTCTATATTAATGGGTGATAGCACACCCCGTAAGATAGTTGGCATTGAAACCATTCAAATTAAAATGTCTGATGGTGTTATTAGGACCTTGACTAATGTGAGGCACATTCCAACTATGACAAGAAATCTTATCTCGTTAAGTACTCTGGATTTGAAAGGGTACAAATACTCCACTGGAGGTGGAGTTATGAATGTATCAATAGGCTCTCTTGTTGTCTTGAAAGGTGATTTGAAATCTGCCAATTTGTATTTCTTGCGAGGTACTACAATTGTAGGTAATGGTGCTACAATTTCAAAGTCATTATCTGATTCTGATGCTACAAAGCTTTGGCATATGCATCTCAGGCATATGAGTGAACTTGGTTTGGTAGAGCTAAGTAAGAGAGGGCTTCTTGATGGACATAACACTAGTAAGTTACAATTTTTGTGAGCATTGTGTGTTTGGCAAACACAAGAGGGTTAAATTCAATACCTCGACACATACAACCAAAGGTATTCTTGACTACGTGCATTCTGATTTATGGGGGCCATCTCGTAAGACATCACTAGGTGGTGCTTGTTATATGTTGACAATTATTGATGATAACTCTAGGAAAGTTTGGCCTTATTTCTTGAAGCATAAATCAAAAGCATTTTTAGCTTTTAAAGAGTGGAAGGTAATGGTTGAAAAGCAAACTAAAAAGAAGGTAAAAAAAGCTTCGCACCGATAATGGGATGGAGTCCTGTTCGGAGGAATTTAATTCTTATTGTAAATCTGAAGACATGGTGAGACACTACACAGTTCCTTACACACCTCAGCAAAATGGTGTAGCCGAGCGTATGAATAGAACAATCATATCAAAGGCTCGTTTCATGTTGTCTAATGTAGGACTGCATTGACATTTTTGGGCAGAAGCTACTTCCACTGCTTGTTATCTCATTACTCGGTCCCCCTCTATTGCCTTTAATAAGAAAACTCCAATTGAGGTTTGGTCTGGTTTTTCGGCAAACTATTTAGAATTGAGAGTTTATGGTTGTATTGCGAATGCTCATGTTGATAACGGAAAATTGGGGCCTAGAGCGATTAAGTGTATCTTTTAGGATATAAATCTGGAGTCAAGGGATATAAGCTATGAAATCCAGAAACTAGAAAGGTTGTGATTAGTAAAAATGTTGTCTTTAATGAACAAGCTATGTTACAAGACAATACTACGGATTTTCTTGTCGATGGTCAACAGAAGTCAACTGTTCAGGTGGAGCAGTTTGTTGATGCACCAAGAAAAGAAATTAATAGTATTTCAGCTAAACCTATTACTGAGGATTCCTCTATTGTTGAGAATGTTCCCATTGTTTCGGAGTCACCACCACCGTGATAGCGTTCCATTGTTGTTGATAGGCCCAGGAGGCAAATTATAGAACCAAAGAGATTGATTAACGAAATTAATATTGCTGCTTATGCTTTAAGTGTGGCAAAAGAAATTGAAGGTAATACCGAACCTTCTACTTACTTTGAGGCTATTGATTCAACTGATTGTAGTAACTGGGTAACTGACATGCATGATGAAATGGAGTCACTTGATAAGAATGGCACTTGAGACTTGGTAAATTTACCAAAAGAAAAGAAGCATATTCGCTGCAAGTGAATTTTCAAAAGAAAGGAAGGAATTTCCCCAAGTGAAGAAGTGAGATATCAGGCAAGGTTAGTTGCCAAAGGCTATAGCCAAATTTCAGGAATTGATTACAATGATGTATTTTCCCCTGTTGTGAAGCATAGTTCAATTCGAACTTTACTTATAGTATTGTTGCCATGTGAAAGCTCTAGTTTGGTTTTGGTGAATTGATGAAACCCTAAGTGCTAACCTAGTTTATCAAAGTGATCATGAGATAGGTAGCACTATTCCAAGTGGTGAAGCAATGGTGAAGATCATGATGATGGTGTGACCATGGTGATGATCAAGTGCTTGGACTTGGAAAAGAAGAAAGAGAAAAACAAAAAGCTCAAGGCAAAGGTGAATTTCCATAGGAGCTTTTTGGTTTAGTGATCGAGACACTTAGCGAGTGTGATCACATTTAGGATCGATATCCGTACTATTAAGAGGGGTGAAACTCGTATTGAAATGTGGTTATCAAAGTGCCACTAGATGCTCTAACTCTTTGCATATGCATTTAGGATCTAGTGGAGTGCTAACACCCTTGAAAATGTTTGTGAAAATATGCTAACACACGTGCACAAGGAGATACACTTGGTGGTTGGCTCATTTGAGCAAGGGTAGAGAAGTTGGTGAAGTGGAGGGGCTGATTTTCACTAAAAATCAGTGACCGGACATAGGTGACATTGTGACCGGACTCGGGGTGTCAGCGTTCGGTTAGTTATAAAACTTGGTGGCGCACTCGGCTTCTCTCTAGTGCTTGACCAGACACCGAACCAAAAAGTGACCTAACTCGATGCTTGTGCATCCGGTCAGTGCTAATGATAGATGACAAGAGCAGTTTGGCGAGCGCAGCTAGGACCTAACACGGTGGCGCGTCCGGTTGCGAGTACCTGACACGTCCGGTCATGGTTTTGATGCTCGAGGAGTCTCTAGAAATGACCTGACGTGCGGATGCTATGGCTAATCGGCGTGTCTGGTCATAAGTTGGAGGCGTGTGGCGCAGTGAGCATCTGATGTGGGGCTGGCGCATCAGTCAGTGGATTGGCACGTCTGGTCCTTCTTTAAATGCAAGCATGAGAGCGAACTAGCCATTGGTGATCGACGGTCGTAGTTTAAATGTAGGACACGTGGCAAGCATCCGTGGATCGGATGCAGGCCTATGTGTGTCCGATCGCCCCGACCTGCGTTTCTGGTAGATGCGCAGTAAGCTACCCCGAGGAGCCCAATGGCTCTATTCATTTGGGGGCTCTATAAAAGGTGTTTGGCCGGCTCAAGCTCACTCTCTTGGCCATTTGCATTGACATAGCAACCTTGTAAGCTTAGCCAAAGCCCTCCCACTCATCTCCATCATTAATTCATCATCTTTGTGAGATTGGGAGTGAATCCAAGTGCATTGCTTGAGTGATTGCATCTAGAGGCACTTGGTGTTCGTGTTTCGCTATGGGTTTCGCTTGTTACTCTTGGTGGTTGCCACCATCTAGATGGCTTGGTGCAGAGAGAATCTTTGAGCGGAGGAAGGTGATTGTCTCCGGCTCCAATCGTGGTGATTATGAGAGGTTCTCGACATTTCTCCAGCAGAGAGCCAAAAGGTACTCTAGTGGATTGCTCGTGGCTTGTGTGATCCTCATCTTGTGTTGGTTGTGCAGCACCCAGCTACGGGTTTGGCATGTGATGCCAATTAGCGCATGAACCTCCAAGTGAGTGAATCGCCACAACAAGGACTAGCTTGCCAGCAAGCAAGTGAACCTTGGTAAAAAATCTTGTGTCATTTTGTCTAAGGATTTCACTGGTTATCTTGATTGTGATTGATTGGCTCCATCATATTGTGATTGGCTGCATCCTCGACACGGCGGTATAATCATCACATCCCCTACCTTGCATTTACATTTCTAGTGTTGCTTCGCTCTTTGGTGTAATTAGTTTTGAGAGCAAGCTTGTGTTGAGTCTAGTGGTTAGTGAGGCTCTTTAGTTAGTCTTTGAGAGCTCACTAACTTAGTGTAGTGACATAGCCTTTGTCTAGATAGAGACTATAGATACTAGAATTTTGGTACATGGCTTGCACTTTTAGTATGCTAGTGCAACACTCGTTTCACCGTTTAATTGTCTAACATCATTGCTAAGTGTTGTTATAGAAATTTTCAATAGACTATTCACCCCTCCTCTAGCCATTAGGACCTTTCAAGTGGTATCAGAGCCGTGATCACCGTGATTTGAGGCTTAACAACCTTCGGTGTCAAAATGGCTCAAATCAACAACACTAAGGAGTCACCCCAATTTGATGGCTCTAACAATCCTTATTGGAAGGCAAAGATGACAATATATATCAAGTCAATTGATAGAAAGGTGTGGAAGGTGGTGGAGACCAAGATTGAGATTGCTAATGAAGAGGCTCCCACCACCATCGAAGAAGTGCTACTCCAAAACAATGACATTGCTCTTAGTGCCATTAATGATGCTTTGGATGAGACAACATTTGAGCAAATCAAGAACATTGAGATGGCTCATGAGGCATGGAAGAAGTTGGAGGAATCATTTGAGGGCACTCAAGCCATGAAGGGTGCCAAGGCATACTGTCAGTGCGAAAAGTGACCAACAAGTAAATATTTGTCGTTTTGCCATACGTTGTGATCAAATGTGGCCTACCACTCAATGACACAAAGTTTATACTAGTTCAGGCAATGTGCCCTACATCCAGTTTGAGTTGGTCGGTGACTTTATTCCTAAGCCCAGGTGCTCAAAGTTTGTTGTGGGGTTACAAACGAGTGGGAATAAGATGGGGGTGTTAGAGGTCCGGTCGGACTCTGGACTGAAGGGCCGAGAGTGACAGGAGCTCCTACATGCGCTAAGTATTGGAATGTATGCTCTGTGTAGCTTTAGAGTTCTAGAGCCGTGAAGCTGTTCGGGTGCTCAGATTGTCTAAAGCTAGCAGAGAGAGAGTCAGAATGATCCTCTTTTATTAGGAGAGAGCGCATCCCCTTTTATAGGTCAAGGGGATGGTCTTACAAGTTTAGAGAGAGAGAGTTCCCTAGTCTTGTTGCCCACGCCATCAGGTACAAGATAATTTGTTGGCACCCACAATACTATTGACGCCCAGATGCATGTGGTAGGCTCCATCGTGTTCTTATGGTATGGCAAATGTCAAAGCCTACCATACTGTAGGACAAATGTCGGTGCCTACAACACTGTTTGTGTTCTGACATGTCTGGAAGGCTGCGAAGTACCCTTCTGGCATGGCCTGACAGTACTATCCTGCAGGTGTGCAGGGTACGGTCCTCGGTATTGCGGTTGACTTGAGCGCCTTACCTTATCTGCTCCGCCTGATTTCTTGGGTCCTCATCGAGTGGACGTCCTCGGTCGGTCGTTCCTAGTCAGCTCCGACTGCGCTGGTTGGAGAAGAGCTGTAAGCAAAGCTTCGGTGTATTTTCGGTCGAAGAAGCGGGTCGGGGTCGGAAGTGAGCGTCGTCCCCTCCATGACAGGCCTTCCGGTCGGAGAAATGGGTCGGAGTCAGAAGTGAGCGTCGTCCCCTCCTTGGCTAGGCCTTCCGATCGGAGACTGGATCGCTCTTTCGGCCTATCATTAGGTATCTGTGCCGGCCCAGGAGTTGAGCGACGTTTGTAATGATGTCTGCTAGGCCGAGCTTTTGCTGGGAAGTGGGCCCATTAGGGACCCTGGGTTTATGAACTCGACTGGAGCCTCAGAGCCCCCAGGCGATTTGGGTAGAATCATCGGGGGGATTTTTCGTTTTGTCAGCGGGTGCGTGCGAGCGCACCCAGTGGGTGTAGCCCTCGAGCCCCTAGAAGATTCAGGTAGAATCGTCTAGGGGATTTTTTGACTTGCCAGCGGGTGCGAGCGAGCGCACCCGGTGGGTGTAGCCCTCGAGCCTGCATCCGACTGGTGAGTCAGTTGGATGCTAAGTATCTTGGTACTCTTTCCTAGGGGCCACAGACTACTGTGTTTCTGCCGTTTAGGGTGTTTGTTCGTGT